GTACAAGAAACAGGAAAAAAACAAAAGTGGTTTAGATAAACAAGCTAAAATACTGTTCATGTTTCTCGCCTCGTAAGACTTCATCATAGTGATGTCCCCAATCCCTGCAATTGTTTAGTGAGTATTAAATTGCCCTAACTGAAAGAAACAATGACCAAAACTATAATCATAAGTTGTAATTTTACTCAATATAGTATAGTAGTCACTGACTCCACCCCTTTTCCCAATCCTTTGGTCGTGACTTTCTCTCTGGCTTCACTGACCTTGATTTGTTTCATCACTGAAATAGAACTCTTCCAATGCATGCCTCCTGTTGAGCAGTCACAGTTCAGTAATAAATGATCACTCAAGGTCACAAAGAGCACTGTGTTTGAAAGGTGTTAGGATAACATACATCAGCGCCTCAGTGTGTGTCAGTTTGATGGATAGAGATACAAAGTTCTCTCGCACGTTGAGTCATAATGCACCAACTTGAACATTGGCCAAGATCCACCTACAGTCCTGCACATGTCCTAGCTAAAACTCACACTCCTGTTGAACTTTAAGCTGAAACGTAACGTAAAAGTTAGAAATAAGTAAGGCAGTGCTTTACTGGAATGATCAAAGTATGGTCAAAGTATCATGTCTCAGGTTTATTACCACGCTTAGCTTTAGTTTTTTTTACTGTTTCCTTTAAAAACTAGTAGTGTTGAGGTTGCACATGTATCTCCAGTGTGATAAAGCTGTGGACTTAGATAGCACATAACGACTAAGACTGCAGAATAATAGGTTTGTCCATGAAAATGTTTAAAAAAAACGTATTCTAGGTGAAAGCATTTTGAAAAGACATGTAGATCATCACATAACACTAAACTCCTAAACAAAAACAAGCAAACAATCTCACAACTGTCATCAGATCATCGGTGTTACTGATAAAAAAAGGCTCACTTAATGAAAAAAGATTGGTAACCACTGACAGAGGCAGAGGGTTTATTGCAGCCTTTCTCCCGCACACTCCAAAGTTATTACTCATATTAGAGAAACGAGAAATGCTAAAAGCCTGTCATCTACATTGATTGTAACACAGTATCAGTGGTGGACCACAGTGACTCATGGCCTGGTTTTTTAAAATAAAAAAAGCCCAATGTTGGTGCAGTGTATCGTTCCAAGTGTTGGCAGGCTGTACTGTCAGTGCAGATCTGGGAAAACTGGTCTGACCGGAGCACCGACAGGCTTTACACCTCTCACTCCTGTCCTCCGCCTCCCTCTGGTTCTATTATTTCTCTCCTCCCTCCCCCGTGCCTCCCTTTGAATTAAACGGCTGCAAAACGCCCCGGAGTCAGCCCTCTGCATGCTCGTGAGGCATGTATGAGGTTTTTTGTTTGTGTGTGTGCACGTGTTACAGGCCAAGTATTTGACCCCAGCCCGTGCTCACATACACAGAGTTGACCATATGTTGAAAGGTGATTAACTTCTTTCCAAATCTGCTGATATACTTTATATATATATAGGTTTAAGTTTTGCATTAAGTGTCAAATGAAGAAGTCACCCAGCTGTAAACCTTGGAGGGGAAAACAGTAGATGTTGGAGAGATTATGAAAGAAACATCAGTAGGCCAAATTAAAAGTCTCCATCTTTTTGTTTAGTTTTGTTTCTGTCTACCTTTCTAGTAAAGTAATAAAAGAAGAGGTTTGCAGTGAATGTCTGCTCCTCTGTCAGCAGCAGGTTGTCCTTGAGCAAGGCATTTGACCTCTTGATTACTCAACAGCCAAAGGTAGGAGCCTGTGGTTCTATTGAGCAGGTGTGAATGTGTGTGTAACTGGATGAATTCGGTCTGGTGCATTGCGGCAAAGGCATTCATGCCCTGTGAATTTACCTTTGTTCAAATAAATGTAAATAATAAGCATCTCCACACGCTGGGAGCTGAGTGCTGATAGATGGACGGATTGTCCTCATTAAGGAGACGTCTTTTCACTTTCTGCATAAAAAACAGCTGAAGGATCAAATCTATTTTTGAACATCAAAGCATTTCACAAAACACAACGGAAAGCAGAAAGCAGTGGCCCGAAAAGAGAACAAACAGCGCTGAGAGTGGTGCATGTTACATGCTCATGTTAGGAGGGACAGCTAGAGTAAGTACAAGCCTGAAGGTATGACAAGGCACATTTATTACCTGAACACACATGATTGGATGCTCCAAAACATCTTTTGTGCACAGCCATCTCACTCCTTAATGATTTTATTATTACATTGACAACTGAACTCTTTATTTTGCAGTATATATAGACAGGATGCTGCAGTTAGCAAGGAGGCTGTGCTGGGGGATTAGTCAATTCATTCAAAAAGTTTCAATCAATTCAAATCATTGTTTAAATCAAAGCAAAGTCAATCAAAACAACTTCTTAAATGTGAGGATTGGCTAGCTTTGTCTGTTTTATGTCATTATGAATTAAATATTTTTGGGACTATTTGTTGGACAAAGAAATGCTATTTAAAGAATCTGAGAGCTTTTTTAGGATATTTTACAGACCAATGAAAATAAATCAATAGATTAATCAACAATATTAATGAATTGTAACCCTGGGAAGAATAAGTAAGGAAGTACCGCAGAATGGTGGCACGGGTTGTTGGAGGGATGATATGAGACAAACATAATTGATTGTTATGAGGAATAAAAGCAGCCAAACAGTCGAATCTGTGCTTTAAATGTATCTGCATTGTCAGGGTAGTTCAGTTCTGATCAGTGTTGACATTGTTTGTGAAGCGCTCGCTGTTGAGCCGTGGGGAGATGTTGTGAGTTTAATTCAGCACAGCGTCTGTGATGGGAGCAGCGTACTTGGTAACTTCAGTGACAGACACACTCGCTCCCTCTCCTCTAGCATCCAAGTCAGGTTTCTAAATTGGCACGCACCCCAAAATAGCACGAGCGAGGGTTATATCAGATCAATTATGTTGGTAAAGGCTCGCTCTCTGTCATACAAGCTCATTCCAGGAGGTCTTAAAGGGAAATGTACACAGAACTAAATCAGGACAGTCAGATTTTTTTGTCCTGTTTATGTAAAATACATTAGTTTCTTGTTGATTTCTGACATATTTTATGTGTTTAGAAAACCTTCAAATCCTAAATAAAATTTAAATACATGTACGTCATATAGGTTTGAGGACCACTTGGTAGCACACCATAATGTTGTAACACTAAACCCAGTCAGACAAAGCCAAACTTCTGCAGAGGAATAACTTAAATTAAATTAAAATGACTCAAGTGACACCTTGGAATTAAAGATCTTAAATTTCCTTTACTAATGAAGTCGTCACTGTTGGATACAGTGAGCCCCCTGCACTGTCTTGTTTGTCCTTTTCATTTCCTGTCCTTTTTTACCACCTGTTCTGCTGTCATCAGCCCTGTCCCTGTGTGTGGGGATGGGAGGATGGAGGGATTGAGGGATGGAGGGAAGGAGGGATGACAGTGTGGATTAACTGTGCTGTGTTGTTGCTGCAGTTCACACATTCCAGCCAGCCAATTCAGGCCAGCTCACTGTACCAACACAGAGGCCTCCTTAACCCCCTTCTGGCCTCTCCTCTGTCCTCTCACCCCCACATCTCCCTCTCTCACTCTAACTTCTCCATCCCACATCAGTGTAACCTTTATTTTAATTTGACAAAGAACCTCTCGCAGCTCTGCCTTCTCTCTCCTCTTCTCCTCATGTGCATCACACCGTCCCCATGCAGTCACATTTCTTTTCTAATTTGTCAATCTGATTCATGCATACTAGTGTCTAATAAAGGCCAATAAAGTAAACATGTTTCCTCCCACAAATGATGCAGAGACTCTCCAGAGGACAATCACTAAGAAATACTGTATGCCACCTTGTTTTGACCTGTGATTGTACCGCCCTCTAGAGGCCAAAGAATGTAATTTCCTAAAAACTGAAAGTCAGGGTGACAAGCATTGTCAGTACATATACAGTAGAAGGCAGTGTCAGTCTTTCTATAAGAACCAGTGACCGTCCAGTCCAGTATAGTTGGAGTCTTTTCAGAGCTTCAAACGATTAGTAGATGAATCTATTAGTTGATCGACAGAAAATGAATTAGATTTTGATAATTGTTTTAGTTTTTTAAGCAAAATTACCAAAACATGGGTGGTTCCAGATTCTTAAATGTCACAAATGAATGATTTTGTTTGTCATACATTATAGTAAACTTAATATCTTTGGGTTTTGAACTGGTGGTTGGATAAAATCAAGCATTCGAAAATGTCACCTTGCACTCGGCATTTGAATTTTCTAGACAGTTTATTGACAACACTTAAAACAACTGGCACATGATGGAAAATAGTCATTTGTTATAGCGCTGGTTCTGTTATGATGGAGGGGAGGATGTGATGTGATCACTCAACAGTTTCTGAACCCTAAATGAGCTGTATAAGCTTCTCAAAAATGTAATTCACATGACTTTAAGTGGGATTTTTATACGTCTTGTGATGTTTCAGTGTCCTTTCACTTTGATTAACAGACATGGGGAAACTCTGAACTTTTGCACCTTTTTGCAGTATCAACTTTAAAGTAAATATATAGCACAAAACGTCTGTAGTCAATTCTTTGATTTAATTATGATTGGCAAAATAATATTGTGAATGTATTATGTAGTACTTACCAACAATTGGTAAGTTATTTAAAGCAATAACGTAAAGTAAAGGGATTTTACCTACTGATATTTCCTACCACTACATTTCTTTCATTCTGATGACTTCTCAGACTACATGAACCAAAAATGCAGTGCAAACATTATGATAATGAATAGAACTGCTGTTTCACTACCACTGTAACGGTACTGTGCTTGCACTGATACAGAAATGATGATTTGCAGTTTGTAGAGTCATAAGGATTGTACTAAGTGAATGTTGTTTCTGCCACAGATGTGATTTCTCACTCACAATTTATGCTCGTTTCTGTTGTTTTTTTTGTCAGGGACGAGTGGAGGTGGAGGCCGGTAATGAGAACATGAAGTTTGAGACCGGACCGTTCTCGTTCTACGGTGTCATGGCACTCAATGCTCCCACACTGGGTGAGTCAAAAACCTCCTCCCCTCTCCTCTCCTCTCCTCTCCTCTCCTCTCCTCTCCAAATTATTAATATGCTATTAATCTATCTATGAAGGTTAAATTAGTATTTCCTGTGTAGTGTCTCAGGCTTAAATGCCTCTACTGCCACCTAGTGACAAATGTTTGAATACAACATCTTATTGCAGTATTATAAATGTGAAGTGGACAGTGAAATATTTGGTTGAATTCAAATGACTAAAATATTTGTACTTACCATATTTTGTTTGAATACTATTTATAATATAAACATAATTCATAACTTCCACTGTCTTGTGGTTGACCTCCATGTGACCATCTGACTCCAATGAACAAAAGTTACATAGAGAGTGTGTTTTGGAAATCAGTCATAAAATTTAAATAAGCCCCAACATGACATTTGTGATCTTCAATCTTCTACTAAGTGATATAAAAAAAATTGCCTTTTAGTTTCAAGCGAAGATGGTTTGGAGGGCTCATGTGTTGGATGCAGAAATGGATTTTGACCTTTAAACTCCTCCCCTACTTCCCCCTATGTCTCTTCCTCTCGTCTCACACACACACACAGACACACACACTTTCACTACCGTAAATACAAAACTTTTCTCTTTTTTCTCTGCCAGTTTTGCTACATTTTGTGTTGGTTGTTCCTGTTGTTGACACTCTTGTCCCAACTTGTCTGTTTGCTGTCCACTTGTGTCAGTTTTATCTTTCCATTCATGTCTGTTTCTGCTGTGACGCTGACCAAAAGGGCTGGGTTATGAAAACACAACGCTGTTAGGGTGCAGGCTGAAATGTGTCCTACACGTCAAGTATTGAAGGCAACTGAGAACCGGAAGCCTGTTTACTTATTCGATAATTTGATATTTATTTATATAAATCCTATATTTTCCACTTTGTAGTCTGAATTCTATTCAGGGAAAGTTCTTGTATAATAGCTTATGTTTAGACATTTAACATTTAACAAGTTCAATGTCTTTTGTCAAATAAAAGAGGAGGTCTGTATAAAAAAACTAATTTATTCTGTTCAGAGTTAGGTATTAAAAAAAGTATTGTTTTGGTAATTCTGGTACAGAAACTCAGGTATTGTATCGGCACTAGTACAGAAAAAATTCAAATGATAAAAATAAGATCACGAATTGGTGGACAAATTTAAACATGGAGAAAAAGAAAGCGGTCTGATTTGTAGGTTTTGACCACCTGGAAAAACCTACATTTTGTCTGATCCCAGCGTTGCTCTTTCCTTTATTTCTATTCTCTTGTTTATGTCAACACTCAACAGCTTAGTCTTTCAGGGCCTTCGGGTAGAGAGGAAGATTTGTGAAGCATTATTTCTTAATTTCCGACTTTCCTCCAGCTTTACCTTCACTCGACCATTTCATCAAACTTCTAATCGATCAAACCTTCAGAAGCGGCTCAGTAACGAGAACAATAGTCACACCTGAAAAATTCACCTTCAAACAGTGTAATCTGACGTGTGATGTTCCTGGAGCAGAATATCTCTGTGGTTTTGCATGATCCTCGCCCAGTCTGGATACAGATTTGTCTCTCTGTCTCCCACTGTCTCACTCACTTTCCCTTCCTCCCCTTCATCCCCCCTCCTCCCTCTGTCTCATCGATCACCTCCTCGTCCCTCCCTCCCTTCTCTCCTCTCAGTGGCTGCACCTCGTCCTCGCCACCTCTCCTTTAAGAGGTTTTCTCTGTTCTCTTGGTTGCCAGGTAAACTTCGGCATGTCTGGGTCCTTTAACAACGAGGACGGTCGGGGTTAAGGGGGTGGGTGGGTTGCTGGGTGGGGCTTAATTGGGTGGGCAGGCCTGGCTTTTGATTTGCCAGGTGTGGATTTGAAATTTTTGTACATCTCGCCTTAGAAATCTGTTAAATGTAACTTAACGCCTGATTACAGACTGAGGGAAATTGCTCTTGCACTGCTCTTGCAACTCTATGGGTTGAAACAATGGATTATTAGTTGCACTTCAATGTGCACCACAATCTGTGATGTAAAATACCTACTATGACATCACTGATTGCGTTGTGGCCAAAGGTGCAACATGTGAAAAGGTTCCACCCAACAGACAGCAGTGTAGCAGCAGTTTTCTCCCTGTGTGATTTAGTGTAGATTTACTCTTTTTGGCAAATAAGCTCTGTGTTCAACCAAAACGACCTTGTTTACACCTAGTTTTATTGAGCCAGCATTATATTTGCATGTAGAGCTTTGACTCTAGTAGAAGGCAAAGTGATGATGATCTACTTTTTGGTTTCTGCCTTTAGAAAAATCATTTTGAAATATAAATATATCTTTTAGTTGAGTTCACAGTATTCTGTACATGTTGGTCAGTAACAAACGGCAGTATAGAAATGCTGAAAATATGTTATAATATAATAATAATAATAATATAATATATGGTCATTTAAAAAAAGAGCACTCACAAGTTTTTGTTTTTTAACTATAAAATGTCACACTGTCGATGGGTCCAGATGATCTGTAAATATTTTGCTAATGTATGGATCATATAAGTCATCTTTTAAAGAGAAATGTCTAAAATGTTTTCTGAGTCTTAGATTTTGATCTGTGTGCACTGTGTTTTTTTCTTTTCCACATAAAATACTCTGATACCTGATCACCTGATTTTATTGCCAGGTGTAAACAGGGTTTGGTAGCAGTGCCTTCACAAGCCTAAAGTATGCACTCAGTGTGCATATTCATGGGAGAACAAAAGCAGAGAGGAAGTTGTTGTAGAAAGTAAGAGCGTTGGTCAAAGAGCACATCTGCCAAAATGTCAGCACAGTTCTTAAACTGACAGGGCACTTGGGGAAAATGATCACATGGCACCTCTAAGATAAAATGGAGAAGGATAGGACAACATCACGAGACACCCAGATGGAACTTGAAGCCCTTCGAGCGGTTAAGCTGTCCACTCTGTGCAGCTTCAACTTTGGATGCATCCTAATAGCTCCAGATGGTTTCTTCCTCTGCTTGTTACATCAGTATTAAAGTGTAAGATCACTGTAGCTGATAAATCAATAAAAATAATTAAGGAGAGAGTGTGGAGCTATTGAGATGCAACCTGAGATATTTAATTATTTTGTTTATTGTTGTCCTATCGCTCACTTTTATGGTGTAGTATAAACCCTAGTTTTCAAACTAAAGGACATTAATTGCTGGAATAGATTGTAGTTTTTTTAGAGCGCAGTTAGTTTTAAAAACTCATTAAATTTCTGCGGCCAATATATTTTCTTTACTTAGTATCAAATGCCCAGTTCCAAATGTAATCCCACTACCATCCTAGTCTTGTGATTATGAATGAAAATGTTTAATCATTGTATTTTCATTATGAGATGATTAGTGTAGGGCTGAGGGTTGTTTGGAATTGGGATCACTCGTTCACTTTCATTTTAAAAACACTAACTCCCTTTGCGAACACCAGCTCAGCTTGGTTGCTTTATAACCTGATTTTTAAAGACCTGAAGATCCAGTAGGTCACTATTCTTTAGCACTAGACAGTATTTAAAACTATGAAATATACATACTTTTAGAAAATGCACACATGGTTTTGGTACAGACTTTTATTACTAGAGTGTGTTCTTCAACTTTACTTCAGCATCCACCCATATTTCAAAATAAATACTGGAATCTGTTTTTTTTAAATGGAAATGCAGGGCCTGCAGCTGTAGCCATCATCACTGTGAAATCCCCATGTTAGGTCACAGTGAAATCTGCGTAAATATTACTAAAGTTAGTACTAAACTACACTGATTTGTTTGGGTAACAATGTGACTGAATCTAAGAAAATGGAAAATCGAGAAACCCTACGTCATGCTTTGCACAAGGTAATCAACTCTGCACTCTGTTTTTTCAGAATGACGTAAACGGCAAATTGTTTGTTTTGATAAATCTCATTCATCTTATTAAAGTTTACATGATGTAATCTGTTACTGTTGTCTGTTTTTAGGTAAAAAATCTAAATAAGTACCAAGTGCTTTGGTTAGCCATGGTTTTTAAGTTGGAGATTAATTTGTTGACAGGGTCTAAATGAAGGAAAGATGCCTACTGGATCTTCATATCAACATAATAAATACTGCCTCATGACTTAATGAAATCTAACCACTAACTAGAAAATTAGCTGTAGATACCCAGGATTAATTTAGCTTAATTCCTTGAACACTAATGCAGTTGACGTGTCCAGGTAAAACAGTTTCCTATGACTCACTGAGGCCCCCTGCTGGAAGATTCACACCTAATGGTAATAATACACAGCTGGTAAAGAGCATGAGAGTGTGTGTGTGTGTGTGACACAAGTCTTTCCTGTTGAACTCAGCATGTCAAATTAAGAGATAAGCGCCCTGCTGGATGACGTTTATGGATGTTAGTCATTGTGGTTTCCGTATGTTGGAGCAGAGTTGGAAAATAACTATGCTACTTAAGGAAGTCTTTGAGACAGTTGTTATGGTTGTTAGAGACATACCTGTTATTGTTAACAAAAAACTGTTAATAACTATGACTAAGAGTCCTACAGTAACAGACTTAACTTGCTGGAAGTAGTGCTACCTGTTTTGATTTTTACTAAAAATGTACTATTTATTAATTTTGAATGTATTTGGTTCAGTATTTTCTTGAATTCATTTTCATGTTGGACTCTTTAATCCTTTAACACCCAGCCCCCTGGACACAAGATGTTTTCACGGTTTCAGTTGTTTAATCTAAAGCCGCAACAATTAGTCAATTCATCCATTAGTCAATGGACAAAAATTAAACCAGCGACTGTTTTTATTATTTGTTTGAGACACTTTTGAGACCACAACTATGGAAAAGACTTGCTGTTCCTGGCTTCTTGAATGGGAGTATTTAAAGTTGAATCACTTTAGGTTTTAGACAGTTGTATCATATGCTTGGTGTCTTTTGAGTCTTATCATATCAGAAAAAGTAAAGTTAAATTCCTGCACACACTCATGACCTCTGAGTTAATTAAGAGGTCAACCTGGAGCTCAGTCACAAGAAGCTTTGTCATAACAGCTCAATCATAAAGTGACACAGACTATTATTGAATAATCGTCCACATCTGTGTTGGAGTTGTGCCCATGATCACATACAGCAGCTTATTCATTCAAGATTCCTTAAACGGTCAAAATATTGGGGCGTCCTGGTTGCTCACC